GGGGTCAGCTGTCCCGGCTGTGTCCCCTCCCAACTTCTTGTGCACCCCCAGCCTACTCGCTGGTGGGGTGGGGTGTGAAGCAGAAAAGGCCTTGACTCTGTGTAAGCACTGCTCAGCAGTGACTAAAACATCTCTATTATCAAGATTGTTTTCAGCATAAATCCAAAACACAGCCCCATCCTAGCTACTACGAAGAAAATTAACTCTACCCCAGCCAAAACCAGCATACCAGGCTGTAGACAACCAAAATTTGCATGTATGAACACCTTGCTTTTATACATCTGTCTCCCCCAGAGTAGATACAGGATTGGACTGGTGTCCAAGCCAGCGTACATTATGCCAACCTCATGTCAATGTTCACCACACATCCCTAGCAGTAATACTCAAGTTTACAGCTGCCTTGAAGCTAACTACTTCTGGCAGCAAGGGTGAGCTGTAATTTCCCCTTCATGTCCATCCATTAGGCATCCGCAGCTCTAAGCCCCTTCTCTACGGGAGACCTTCTGGTCCTTTGTTCAAAGAGAACATTCCTCTCATGGGAAGGAGTAGAAGGAAGAGGAACATGCAATTCTCTCTGCGTTTTGCTCTTCTAGTCCCAATTTTTTCTGTAGCGATAATCCAAGAGTCCAGCCACCATCTCATGATCTGGGTGATTCAGGATTTCAAATCACGGGTAAGATATGCACAGGAAAAAACAGTCTGGGGAGGAGGAGGAACCAGAAGCCAGCGTTTCTCCTTCCAGTGAGTACGGCTGTGTTATGGAGTCATGCTTTTTCTCTGGTCCAACAAAGTTTGAATTCTTCTGGCTCAGTTTCTGAGGTTCAGCAGAGGGAAGGCCAAGTGCCAGAACTGTCTGGTAGCTAGATGACTTTCCTGGGAGACACACAAATTTCTGAAAGCAGCTCTCACTGCTTGGCCTAATGGTCTGAGTGCTAGGGAAAGGGTGGGGGACGGGACAGAAACTTTTCCTCTGGATGTGTTTTAAAAGAAAGTGGTTGCTGCAGATGAATTTTACCTGAACCCAATCCTGTCAGTATAAGGCATGGGCAAAGGTCTCTGCTCAAGAAAGCTTTTAATGTATTTATAAGCAACAGTTGCATGGCTCTGTCAAGATGGGAGCAGTCTGGGTGTGCTATGAGACAGTCGTGGGCACTTGAGGGGTCTTAAAGTAGAAGAGCATGGTACATGGTCTTCTCTTAAGAGCAGCTGTCTGAAGGTGTTTAAGGTTGCTCCTAAAGATGAAGGTGGGAGCCCAGCAGGACTGGAGAAAACAGCTAGCCTCCAACATACAGCAGTGAGGCCATCGGCATGCTGTGGAAAACCTCAGCAGACCCCTATGGGCATCATTAGACATCTTCATACCATTAAAAAATATGCTCCCTGATGCCATTTACTTTCCGTCAGGGAACCACCTGGGCCAGCAGCTCTCTGGGGGCCGGGACCACGCGGGCTCCCCTGGGGTGGCAGGGCAGGGCCTGGCAGCCAGGGTCCATCCCACCTCCCCAGCCAGGAGCAGGGCAGCCAGCTGGCACTGGGGCAGCCCCAGCCGCAGGCATCGGGTACCTGCCTGGGGATGGGGACGGGATGAGGCCAGGCCAGGACATGGGCCCATGGGTGGGCCCAGCTTGGGGGAACCCCATGGCCAAGCAGGGCAGGGCTGTGGGGAGCTGAAGACCGGCCCTGCTGCAGCGTCACTGGGGCAGGGGCCGATGGCCCCAGGGGGCTGCCATGGGCAGGGTGGGGGGAGCCCCAGGGGGCTGGGCAGGGACAGTCAGGGCTGTCAGTGCCTCAGCGGCCCAACACTCGCAAGCACCGGTCAATCCAAAGGCATAATCCAGAAGCATACCATGCTTCATATTGCTGCTCCTGCATTACCAGCCGTGCCCTCTCTTGTCCACCCACTGCCTGGGAGCCCACTGCTCGCCTTAGCTGCTCTGGGTGAAGTCTCACCCACATGACTTTTGTGAACGCCTTGCCTCCACATGGGCTTGGATTTCATCCTTGATGCATATTTGCAAAACACGTGCCACTAAATCCAACTCCCGTATGCAATCTAAGCATCATTTGGGCCTGAGAGTGACCATCTCAGCTGCCAGGATATTGATTTAAGCATCCCTGAAGGGAAACGCGGCTTTGCTATTTGGATGAAAGTCAGTCCCTATGCTTCTCACAAGTAACAAAACCCTGACCATGTATACCGTATCGAGTGTCAAACTGACCTGCGACACTCGTAATGAAAACACCCTGCCCCACAAGCAAAGCTGCCTGGGGGCACGTGATTCCCCGGACCAGTCGGCCACTGCAAGATCGTCTGCAGCTGTTTGCAGTGACTCTGCTACGGGTGGCGTAACACCCATGTGGACACACTGCATGGTGAACTCGGAATCTCAACATGACTTAAATGCTATCTTCAGACAAAATAAACTCCTCAGAAACATAAACAAAGACGTTTATTGCAAATAAAAATTCACATTCACATCATTAAATCTTATGAATTATAAGGAGGTCATTTTGCAAATTGTGAAGCATCCATGTGCACAAGGGCTGCCGTTTTCATCAGAACAGCTGCCTGGGACATGTATATATTTAGCTGAATGTGCCAAGCCAAATATCCCTCTATCTACAAAGGTTTTGATTTGGCTGGTGACATCGTTCTGACACTTCCACAGTTTCATTTTCTCTGGATCTGGCAGTAGAGGCTCATAGAAAACCCCAAACCAAGAATCTGGAAAACAAAGACATTTCTGGTATTACTTGGCAGTCCTGGAAATCCCAGGATACAACCGATACACAGTGGGAACATTTTGTTTGCAAATGTCTTGGATTTACATGCAGGCTAAATCTGCTGTGCAGAAGGTCTTTTCCAATGCAATTCTTAAAGAACATGACTCTAGAATATAGCCATTTTAATGAAATCAGTATGTACCACAGGTAAGACTGCAGACATGATGGAAAACTTTCATTTGTTTAAAAGATGGATTGCTTCTGTGGATGCGGAACCCTGTAACTCTGGGGGTTTAAAATGCAGTTGTTAGATGCAATGGAGCAGCAAATACTGAGAAGTTCAAGAAATTCGGACAAAAATTCAATCTTTTATTTTCTAAGAATGTTGGAGGAACTTTCTGATTCTATTGCATATTCTAAGGGTTGTTTCCCTTTGAAATCTCTCATCTTTTCTACTGTCACTCTCTTTTATGTAAATATATGTGTAAAGGCAATACATGTGTATATGTATACAGGCATAGATCTATACACATACCCCACCTTTTTGATTGGCAAATGATCATGCAACAAATATTTTATATTCATCAGTAATAGATTTGGGATAGAAACACTGAGTCCGCTAAAGAAGCTGTTGCTTGAAATATAAAATTCAGTAGGGTCACCTTCTGCAGTGGGAATTACTGGGTTAAAATCCACAGCCTGTGACAGACAGCTGCCAAGATCAGAAGATCAGAAAGCTTCCTTCTGGATTTAAAATTAACCAGTCTGTGAAGGTGTTTCACAAAAGTGGAAAGTATCCAAATGACATTTATGAAGCCATGAACACCAGGATGCTTTATTTATTTAAGGAAGAGACAGTGGAGAGCATATAGAACACAGGGGTATGGCTAAGATGAGGGGATGAGCTCACAGCTGGAAGAAGCTGACAGGGCTTCCCTGACATACCATGCCTGCATTTGCACTTGCGCCCAAGTGAAACTGGGCCCTTCTTCTCAGTATCATTTCCACTAATAGGGTGAGCTGGAACCATTAACAGCCCACAAGTGGCTTAATGGAGCAGGCAGAGGGGGAACGCTAGGGAAGAGCACTTTTCCTTGTCCACTTCTTTTTATCTGGGTTTTTCCAGAGCAGAGAGATGGTTAAACATGTGGCCTTTGATTTGCAATTACTTGAGAAGTTGTGATATATTAATATCTTTGGAAAGGCTAAATGTTTATCAAGTGTAAATTGCCAGCTGACAATTTGTACCAGCTGAGGCTCATATTGTTTATTCATGTTGTTTTCTAATCCTTTTATGATTGGGAGAGGCAGCCACCACAGAAAATGCCAACTAGAGAACAGGGAAGAATGATGGCCAATGAACTAAAGGCTACAACTCATGTAACTGCAGTAACTAGAGCAAAGTGACTTACAACTTACCTTCAGGATACAGATGCAATTTTACACTTCTATTATATTTTTAAAGGCCTTTTAATGTTGGTGTATTTCACCTATTTTCCCCCAAACTCTACATATAGGCGAGAGACCTGACCCCCCCACATATAGCACCTTAGATAGCATGAAGCCCGTGCCAAGTAAGGAGTTAGTGGCCTGTCCTCTCCCCGTGCTGCAGCTGCGTAACTCTTCCCCGCTTACTATTATTTTCCTGGACGTGTATTTTGGAGTTGGGGCTCTTGCCCACTCTTCTACCACGAGGAACAATCATCTGCCAATGACGTTAAGAAGTTTTCACTCGGAATAACAGACTGAACTCTGCACAGCAATCTTCGTCATTTCTGCTTTTCCCTCAAACATCCATCAGCGGGGGGCAGGGGAGGAGGGAAACCACAGAGGAATAGTGAAAAGAAAGAAAATGACCGAAGAAAGCAACATGATGAAGTCCCCTGTTTCTTTGCCATTTTCTCCTAATCAAAGCCTATCATTGATCAAGTAGCTGACTGGATAACCTCACTGTTTTTCCTCTTCTCTTCGGAGAAAATTTTGCATGTTATTCTTCAGTATATGATGAAGCAATTAAAATAAAGAGCTCACACACTCTGCTTTTTTTACACACAGGAATGTATGGAGCAGCACAGGTGTGCACTCAGGCACATTCACGCACTATCTTGATGGCTAAATTATGCCCTCGGAATAATAATTTCGTATCATAATTTCTCTGTGATAAGAATATGCAGTTTAGGGGCTAAGTTTTCTTATGAGATGACTTTTTCCTCGAGCAAAGGAGAGAAAGAGGAGGAAGAGACTGGCTATTCTGCCCCATGTCTTCCTGGGGCTGGGTATCCGCACACCCCTCTGTCCACAGGGCTCGCTGTCAAGGCAGAGCCTGGCTCCAGGACTGTCAAATCTTTGTAGAAAAAGTGCCATGTGATACACTTCCACAGGCAGCAGGGTGGTCTGATCCCACCTGAAGTTCACAGCTCGGCAGCCGTATACTGTTCATATGAAATAACAGTAAGATTATAGCTAAGGTGAGAGGTGGTTTTCCCTCGTCTATTAATTGAGCAAGCCAGCTGTTTTAATCCCATTCCCAGTGTATTTCTAAGTAGAACATATTGCTTGTCAGCTACTAAATATTTTAATGGTGTATACTGGTACCTCAATAACGGCCAGTCCAAAGGCAATCCCCATAATTATGAGCAGATGGTCTTTAAGGTATTTGATAATCACATCTCCACAAGGCTGAAAAATAAGACAAAATGATTAATTATAGGTAACCAATATTATCCTAAGGTTATTAGGAATGCATTCTCTAAAATAGCTCCTCTCACTCTCTCTCTCTCTCTCTCTCTCTCTGTTAAAGAAAGGCTATTTGAATTTACTCTGGCTTGTTGCTAACAAAGAATACAGCTATATGTGCCTTCTGCACTGCGAAAGATATCTAGTCTTTGCCTTCCCAAATATGAAGATGAATTTAGTAGCTGACCATAAAATGGTACAATTTCAAATGAAGACATGCAGCTGTAATGCCTAATGTTTGCATGATTTTCAGTTGACAAGGAAAGAAGCGTTTATTCTTACTTTCACTTGATAATCATTCACTGCTAGGAAAGAGCCAATGCAGCCATGACCAGATCCGAAAGAGAACTTCAGTTTCCCACTAATCTGATCTTTGGATTTGAAACTTCAAAGCCTATTATTAGAGTCAGGCTCAACTATAAATATTTGGATATAAAACCTAGCTTGAATATTAATTTTGACAAATGTTTGGTGGTCTTGGGCTGGGGCTGAGAGGAAGGGAGTGATCATATCTGAAGTTCTATGCAGAGCTGCTCTCCCTTTTAATAAATGCATACATCTGTTCTTATAATGACTACATCTTCTCCAGGCATTGACAATACTCCTTTTGCAAACTGTAGGGAAAGCCAAGTACGGCTTAAATCCATCAAAACTATGGTACTGTTCCAACACTACAACTGCCTTCCCCCCAAATATAGTTATATTCTTTCACCATGTTTCCTCCCTCACAGTAAACACATGGGTCTTCTCCTTCTAGTCCTTCTAAAAAACGTCTCATTTAAGCTGACTCAGAACTGCACTGCATTTCAGATCTTTTTTCCTGGATCACAAGAGTTGAATGTCTTTCTTTACTAGCATCTAACACCACCATGAAATCTGTATGTTCATGTGAGCGATATCTTGCACCTGCAGTAATTTCACTGATGGCTTCTCATGTGTTCTTTGAGGGTTTGCCTGAGGCCAAAAAGACCTTAAAATGTGGCCAAAACAGCCTCTTTGTATACATCTTATTTCCAGATTGGGTTCTGGCATCCTCTACTTAACCAGACTGTTCCCTTGCTTTAAAACAGTACTTGCTTCTGTGGGACTACACATGGAGGAAATTAGTGTTCAGGCAGGACCTGGCTAAGGAGCAGTGCATTTAGAAAAGTATACAAACAGATTTGGACATTTGCTAAAATCTGCTTTGTGCTAGGTGCAGATTGGCAAACTTTGTACTACCAGCATTCTAAAAATGCAGCTATTTTGTGCTAGTTTTCCACTTTTTTTTCATATTTTTCTTTGTATGCATGGCGTCCAGATTTCCATATGAGGAGACAGATAAATCTTGAAATTAATTAATTGAGATCTCTGCTGCCCACCTACCAATTTTTGAGTATGCTTTCTTGTTGCCTGTCACCAGATATTTTTGCCTTGTTATTATATTAACTGCCACAAGCTTTTCAAAAGGCTGTAGTTGTAGGGAAAAAAGGCTGTAGTTGTAGGAAATTACACATTGAGTATGCTGCCATGAAACCTACAACATGTAAGGTTTCTTTCCAGCAGATCCTGCAAAATGAGTGTGGGTTTTTTTATTAAATTACTATAGAACCCCAAAGGTCTTGCATTTGATGTGTTCGTTTTTCAATATCCCTTAGCCCTTTGAAAGCCTCTGAGTCAACATGTCTACCACCAGAATGAGCCTGGGTGCGAACATAGCCTTCTGAGGGAGGAATGAGAGCCAAAGGGTAGCTGACGTGCTGCTCTGACCCAGAGGCACACCCTGGCCCCAAAGCCATAATAGTTTTCACCCATAGTAACCATGCAGACCGCTGAGGTCCTAAGGGTACTGCACTGCACAGCTAAACTAGAGGCATCGCAGGAAGAGGAAGCAGCAGTGTATTTCATGTATGCACAGTAATTTCATAACAGATGGCACAGGGGTAATTCTGGCTGACAAAGAGAAGGCAAAACTTTGCCTTTTTGGAAAGATACAAAACTGCTGACTATGCCAGTCACCAAAGACAACCTTGGGTTAAAACCTTTTTTTGGAAAGAAGAGTAAAACGTTATCTTTTTCTTACCTTTTTATAAATGTATCTGCCTTGAAATAAGGTGCAGAGGTCTGCTGATGGGTTCTTCAGTTCACACTCACAGATTTTATTGCTACCAAAAGGAGTATTAAAATTTTTTCCCCAGTCTGCAGGTCCGTTCAGCAAACCGCAGCACTGGTTCTGCAAGAAAGGAGGGAATGGGGAGATGAGGAAAAAAGTGGTGATTTGCAGTTCGAGGAGAGTAGGCGAGGGAGCTGAGAGGAACAACGAAGGAGAAATTTCCTTTCATCTTTTCCCATGTGGAAGTTGTCCCAAATTGGTATGTCTCGAACACCCTTTACATTTCCATACCAATTATAAGAATGTAAGTGCACAAGTTTAAAAAAAGAAAAAAAAGGAAAAAAGACCAGATTTTCGGTATACAGTGCTCAAAAAACATTAACATACTATAAAGCTAGTAATTGTCAGTGCCAGAATGGAACTGGAACAATGCTGGGTATAGTATTTTTTGAGAATCAAGTCTTCTTTCTGCAGGTTATACTTGCAGAAGGTAAGTAATAGCTCCAGTAACACCCACATTTCACACCTTGAAAAGCCAGGCTGAAAATGTAAAATTCAGGCACATAAAACTCTGAAATCTAGAAAAATAACCACCTTGAATGATGGTTAGCCCTTTAAATTAGAAATGGACTGAGAAGGCCAGGGCTCCATTTGGGGTTTGTGAAACCTAAACCAGGTGCAGCTTCACTTCATGTTCCACTTTATTCAAGCCACTAAAGCCCAGGGGTGCAGACTTGGGTTTGAGGTCCTCCCTCTTTTAAAAAACAGCTGGAAATGTTCACATAATTTTGTATAAAAGCAAAGGCCATGGGACATAATAAAGCAATCCTGGTCTATTTAAAAATTAATACAGTAATTATGGGATTTTTCATTTTGCTCACTCTTCAATCATCTCTCCAGGGAGCTGGTTATTATATCAGAAGAAATAAGCTGACTCAGAAGCAAAGGACAGGGCTGGAAGTGGAATGAGGAAGGAGAAGTAGAAGTAATATAAGCCACCCAAATATTGTTTCTTGCTTCCTTATCTTTCACACCAGCAGCCTTTAAAAATATAAGAATTCTTTAAGCCTACTCATCAAAGTCATCACCCATTAGGGACTAAAAAAAAAAAAAACAACAGCAGGCACACTGTCAATGTACAGACACAGGTACTAGTAGGAGGGGCAGGGGTCTACACCATCAGTGATATCAGTGAGATGCAAGGGTATTTATTCTCTATGCAATACCCAGGAGCAAGCTGGCACTAAGTGTCCACCTTCTGGGGTCCTGCAGGTGGGGGAAGCCAGGATAGGTATAAGCACAGTGAAAACAAACCTCCCTTTTATTGTATTTTCTTCCCCCTTCTTACACAGTAAAGTATGGCATTTAATGACTTCATAGCAATAGGATATTCCAAATTAAATACACTCCCAATGTTTTCCTTATCCCTGGGGTAATCTTGCCTTAAGAGTACTAGATAGTTCTTAGCTGGGATACAGTGAAGGAGCGATGTCCCTTCAGAAGGGAAAGCTGTAACAAAGGAGCAGGCAGCCTTCTCATGAAAGAGCTTAGCTAACTGTCAGTCTCACTTGCATGTTGTGTGTCCTTGCTCCATTGCTCTTATAAACACTGCTGCACAAAGAAATCATCACAGAAAGCCCATGTCATATCAAGAGAGCAGAAGCCCCTTGCGTAGTGTTTTAACTTGCATTTAAGTCAGACCCTTCCCCATCTCCAGGGAATGAAATTCAAATCTGTGGCAGAGTAGCCATAAAATGAAGCACAGACAAATGCTAGAGATGGAACAGATAGCAACAACCCCTGTCCTTTGTTGCATTTTAATTACCATTCTCTCAAATTTCTGGAACTTGTCTTGAAATGTTTTAGATTCTTCTGTAGAGCTTTGCAATGAATTCACACCCGCCAGGAGAGTCTTGTTAAGGGATGTTTCAATCTGCAAGTCCAAATATTTTATTAGTTTTTGGGGTAGAAACAACACTCTGGGAAGACATCAATGAAATTGCAGAATAATACTGTACCTGAGATCTGTACACTGCTCCTAAAATACCTCCTGTGATCTGAAGGATCAGGATCAGAAGCAGTCCAATAAAAAACTAGGAATAAAACAAAAAGGGGAGAAAACTATAGTACTTTTGACCAAGATGATATAATTTCTTCGAAGTGAATGTTAAGCTTTCATCTGCTTGAATAACCAGGTAGGTAGAATGAACTGGAGTTCCAGTCAGAACTGCTCCAGTTATTCCTCCTTTGGCAATGAGAAAAGGGGGTGCTCGAGACAGAGTGTGCTCAGCTAGTGATCAAAACAAGGGGCACACCAGAGTAGGGCAGTGTGTAGGTGAGAGGTGTTGGGCAGGAGGACAGGGAGGGCGTTCTAGGAGGAAGAGCAAAGGGAGCAACTGGGAATTTATGAAATTAAATGGGATAGGTAGTGGGGGAAGACTGGTGGAGGGAACTTCGGTGATGGCTGGGTGGAAAAAAAGTTAGTGACATGCTCAGGGCTCTCTGGACCCTGTCTTCTTGTTGATGAGACCACCCATCATTTTTTCTGCACTAGAATTCAGAAGGGGCTCAAGCACAAGGTAAGCAATGAAAACACATGATCATAATCAAGCATTTGGTTAACCAAAAAGGCCCCCATCCTCATTTGGTACTACTTGCAAGGACCTTATCCATCAAATGTAGTTGTGGCCTGTTAAAGGTAGCCAAATGTTTTTCTTTCCTACCAACAGCAGCATGCACCGGCTCTCCTTTATGGCACCACAGCACCCCAGAAACCCAAGGACCATAATGATGGAGCCCACAGCTATCAGCAGATCAACCCCTGCAAACAGGCTGCTGTCTATCTCCAAATCCTGAAAAGAGAGGGGAAAAATATCTTTCAGCTACAAGAAGCTCCTCCTAAAAACATCTGTATACCCCAAAACAAGATAATTACTTCATAACTGATAAATATACTGATTAGCAACCATGGAGAAATTCTGATCCGTAAATAAAAAATCCGTAATGCCCCCTTCTTAAACGTTTTGTTGGGGAGCTCGGTAGAACCTGGCTTTTCACAGCCTTCATCTCTGTACAAGATGAAAGTCAACTTTACAGAGTAAATAAAGATCTCTTGTCTTTAAAGTGGCTTTCAGTTAGTTTTCAGTCGATGAATCTTTGCTTTTTACTGGAAGTAGCAAAACTGATTATCTTGAAATCTCTCCTACATTAGCCAAATGTTAAAGAAACTAAACCTCTGTTTGTCATTAGAAGGCCAGGAACATACTCTGTGACTGTTCCTGAGAGAACACTTCACAGAGCGATGCTGGATATACTAGAGAAATAGTTAGATGTATTTTCCAAAGCAGCTTTCTTTTTCTTTTTTTTAGACATGATCTCTAATATTACCCTCAGAGATGAGGACTGTATTTTGATGTGTGGGACATTCAACTAAACAATTCGTATACCTCAATATTATTAAATATCAAATTATTCAGTTCCCACAGGACTGACTAAGGCCAAAGGCCAAAATAGAGAAAAATGTTCAAAGAATATTTTCCAGTGTGGCTGGTGCCAAGATTAGCAAAAATGTCTGGAAGTTGTCACATTTATCTTCTGATGGAAATTGCAAAGGTATATAGACAAGTATAATTTGAAGAATGTGTTGTTTTTTTCCTTTCCAAGTTGGACTGATCCTCCTGTTATTTATTCTTAGAAAGCTCTATTCATCTACAGCCAAATCCTTATGGTCTGTTCAATTATTACTCAGGCAAAACATACATTGGTTTTGAATGGGAACTTTCACTGCCTAGAGGCAAAAATGTGAGAAAATGCTTTCAATTTTGGTCCCTACTCTTAATTCACAGTTTTTGGGGAGTGCTAACTGTCACTTCAGGAAACCAGTTTGGGACACACTTAAGTATACTTTTCTAAATAGGAAATCTCTCAAAAAGTAAGAAAGGATAATAGTGGTTATGGTTTTCCAAGCTCCATTGTACCATCTGAACCATCATACTAGAGATGGTCAACTAGCAAGTATGGCAATTTTAGCTTCTTGTAAAATGTTGATTGAGGAGTGAAAGTCGTCATTCTTCTTCTTCCACAGGCAAGAACGGCAGAGCTCTCCACCATGACCTAATTTACCCCATGGCACAACATCATCATGAACTGAGTTCTGTTGCATCCATCCTCTGCCAGACATGAGACATCTGGGACTGGCTAAGGGCAACAGTGTCATCAGCCAAATGGCAGGAAATATATAAAGCTATCTTCTTATCTCCACCATGTTTTTATTTCCAGGAGGTAAAACACTGACTTAAAAATTATTGTTCTTCACTGATGGACTGTAGTAGAGCAGCAGAGGAGCGATCTGAAGATTTCCAACTTAATCTATACTGAAGGCTCAATCTGGAAGCTGAAAAAAATGCTCCCATGTCACACCTGGCCATTTTTTCACTTCTATGGCCAGAAAGCCTTTTTGGAAATAGAAGTGTGCAAATTAAATTTTCAAATTCATTTACATTTCTATGGCCCAACTTTACAAGAAGAAATATACTGCTTAAACCTTAGAGTCAGATTGTTCTTCCTGTTAGTATAACAAAGGACCAACGTACAAAGATTGCACAGTGCCTCTCAGAGAAGCATCTATGAGCTGTGAAATCAGCTTCACTCAAGGGTGGTGGAAAACTTGCTGTGAGTCAGAGGCCAGTGCCACTGGGAGCACACCTGGCAAAAGGTTGGCAGGGCCCACAGGGCCAAAGGGCCTTTGCACCAACAGGACCAGCCTCTGCTGCATGTCTGCAAGATCAAGGGCACCTCAAAATTGTATTTTCCCTAGCTTTGCAGAAAAGGAAAGTCATAAAGTCTGAAGTAATTTAATAACCCAGATAAAATGCAGGAGGGGAACTCAGGGACTTTCTTCTCCCCTCCAGGAGTGCTGTTAGGACATTTTAATCCTAAGTAAAGGTTTTCGGGTCTCTAAAACTCTTTCTATATAAATATGAGGGAAAAAGGATAAGGTGTTTTTAAGGAGCCACTGAAAATAGAAGGGAAAAATCCTTGTTCCCTTTCAGAGTTGCAGTTACTGGGGAAATAAGAATTGTGTTATTGAACACAGTGAGAAAGGTAAAAATATTACCTACAAACATATGGAAGTAACCCTAGGAATATATATGACTATACTATTCTAATAGGGAAAGACATTGAAAAGTCTAGGAGCTGCATGGCTCCTCATTATTCTCTCTAACACTGAAATCAATATCAAAACCATCATTAGTTTCCATTAGAGGAGAGAGAGACACATGTTTTCCAACAGAAATCAGTGTGCATCTGCAAGAACCTACATTAATAACACTAGAAGACACTTCTTGTAGTCACATGTCTGTGCTTACGTCAATCACTTTATCTGACTACCTGCACCATCTCGTTTTATCTTAAACATCATAAAATGCATTAATCTTTACCCACACAAGCCACCTCAACAAAAACATAACAACTTTGTGGAAATGAAGATGGGAAATGAAAGTGTATGCAGTAGCTTCCACATTTTACATGGTTCTGGTATGACTGCATGCACTTACCTGCTGAGCATCTTTGCTAACACGTATCCATATAGAGACTCCCAGAATAACGGAACCACACACCTGCAGGAGAAAATAAAGAATATTTAGAAAGATCAGCGATTTTAGATTAACATTCAGCGTCCAAATTGCACCAGATGCTGGCCAAAATTCTGAAATAATTTGTTTGGCAAAGTGAAAGAAACATGAATTGCTGGAGCATAGAATATTGATTCGTATCCAGGAAACTTCATAAGGGTAGTTAAATCTTCAGTTATGCACCAAATCCCTGATGTTTCTACCTCAGAGGACTCCGCATTTCCTTGATGATTTATGCATGTGGTTGGGAAGCACACAGAAATTCTGTCAGATGAGAGAGGAATATAAATTGCTATTGTATGTATGTAACATGGCTGTAAAGAACATTGTTTCTTGTATAATGGAAACACATGAGATTTGATAAGGGGTGTTTGTATAAATGTTGTTTCTAGAGTTATTCAGGACATATATCTAGAGACAGATTCTCTATGGTAAAACTATCAGGAAAAGTTCTAAATAAAGTCTTTCTGCTGTTTCTATTGCAACAATATCTGGCCATCTCCAATCCTTAGAATATTCCTCCTATAAAATGCCTATAGTTATTATTTCCATTACATTTTTACAGAAAACAACCATACTCGGTCGTGTACATGTGAAAGTTAGACTGGGGTGACTTGCTTTAAGATGTTGAAGTCAGGGCAGATGAATCCTAGGTCCAGACACATTGCCTAATCACTAGTTGTGCTCCTGTTTCATTGATCATTGAGGTACCGTTCCACTATGAGCCAGTCACTCTATTCCTAACCTTGTCCATGATGATTCTTACACAGAATTTCTCTTTATTAAGTGTTGGAGACGGGTAATAAAGAGGCTAATCAGATGTAAGGATTGTGCCTACTGAGGCGACTGGTGGGAAAGAGAGATCACTGAGGACCAGAGACTAGTTGGATTTAGAATTATCGTCCTGTATGTCATTAATACTCAAGTCATAAATGGCCCTGAGATGTTGTTATGAGCTTCCCATGAAGACCGGGATTATTCCTAACCTTTTAAAATTAAAAGAGCTATTTTTATATGTTTTAGATAATTTTTCTTAAAAAATACTTTCCCTGCAAAAGGTTTCATGTAATATTCAGCATCAAAGACCATAACAACTTTAGCAGATTATTTAATATGGAACCGAGCCAGCACTCAGACATGAGTACCACACATTTTCCTGCTCTAAGTAAAGCTCCTATAAGTACATTTTAAACATGAAAAGGAAAGTTGTACAATCGATGACAGCTATATCATGTTATCAAATTTAACTAGAACTCCCCACTGAAACCTTCTGAATCCCACTGAATCAGCCTAGAAACTGATGGTGTCATATGACTCCATATTTGGGTCTTGTTCAGCAGCACTAGGTGAGCCATGTGGCTATGCACCAGACAACGTGGGCTCGCTAATGTGAAAATTTCCACTGAAGCAGCTATTGCTACAAATCCAAACAGAATTTGGCCCACTGCCTTATTTGTTACATAGGACCTCCCATAAAAATACAGCACAGTAGTAGAAGTAAATATAGCTGAATGTACAGGAACTTACCAACCAGATGGGAGTGCTACAATATTTATTTCCTCCATTCGAAAAAGAAACATCATTTATAAATCAAAATTTTTAATAAGGTGTATATATTTTAATTGTAAAATATAGAGTTGGTTTAGGCTGATAAAAAATGCTCCATTTCAGTAAAATCTTAATGTTTTGTTTCTGTTTATTTTCATACTATACAAAGTGTACAAGAACACACAAAGAAAAGTTTTGAAATAACAAATCAAAATGGTCTGTTCCCAGAGTCCAAGTCAAACATTTCAAGTTTGCTGGAATACTCCATCCTAATGATTAAGTTTTCTTAAAATAAAGTTTCGACTAAAGAAACTTTCATTTCAGGAAATTTCATTTTTAATGAACCAGTATTCTCTGATGGAATAAAAAGAGCTTCTTTGAAAAGGTCCTCGCCCATTTTCCCAAAACTAGATGGCTATCATAGTTCTGCCTCAACCCTTGACCAAGAATCAGTGACCTCATCACCATCTCATAAACTGACCAGGAACAGGACTGTTGTCCCTCAAATTCCATCAGTCCTTCTCTTCTCTAGCCCTTTAGTCTTGGTGTGATGAAGAAATACAGCCTAATTAAATTAATATCACCTCAGATGAGCCTGCTGTGACTCTGGACCAGCAGTATAACAAGACTGCACTTCTCAGACACGGGTATACCAAACCTATGGGGAATTCCCTCCACTGGCACACACTTTTTAAGCAACCAGTTTAAGGGTATCAGGAGGAGCTTTCTACAAGGTTGCTCCTGTTTGGGAAAACATTTGACTGGAACACTTCCTTGAGTTACCTGAAATTAACAGTGGTAGGAAGGTCCTACAGAGAATGTGGTCTATGGCTCGGCATACCTGCTAAGTTTGTGTTGCTACTTTCAGTGATGGAGATGTTCAGATGTAAGGTATGGGGAAGGGGCCACTTTGGTTGTAGATGGGACTGCAAGTCTGGTATCAACAACTGATCAAAGATTGCTCTATCACTAACTGGGTTGCCTCAAACTAGGATCAGACATCAATATTTAGTGCAAAAAAATGGTAATTCTACAATTTTGCATGATGTAGAGTAGCAGAAGCTGACAGAATGAGGGCAGCAGGTGAGACTGGATATCCTGCAAACTCTGAAGAAGAGAAAGAGGAAAAATCTGACCTACGTGTCAGGTTTAATGCACAAAACTGAGTTAAGGATTAACTTAAGGACTATTAAAAGCTCCGTATAGGCACCCAGCTCCAAAGCACAGGTGTTCAAAAGCCCATGCTCAGCTTTATTTCACCAAACTGGGAGGATGCAAAACTCTACGGACACTCTGGAGCCCAGCATCGGGCTCATGGGGCTGTAGATTCCCAGGGGGCACACGTCATGTAGTGAAGCCAGAGCCACTTTGCAGAGCTCGCTTTGACTATTCCAGGGCTTACATGCTTAGTGCTATGCTGTAAAAGCTGCTTAGAAAAAGGCATCAGAAGACTGGAAGGCCCATTCCCAAGTCCCCTAAGAGGGGACACTCCCAGAGAGATTGCAAAGGGCTTAAAATCAAAGGACACCAGGTAAATATGCAGCCGTTGCTCTTATCTAGCTGTAGTTAAAGTCACCTTCATTTCTCACAATCAGTTTAATTTTCCACTTGCCAACTGCCTTGTACACCAGGGAGAGCAGCTGTGGGATCAGTGGCTGTAAAGACATCACTGTTCCCTGTACTTTACTACAGCAATTTAATCATTTCCAGGAATTAGAGACAGGAATGTGAATCAAAGAATTCAGCTTCATTGTACTCCGTCAGCCCATATTCCTGTTTGCACCACATCTGTTCTTCCCTATCTTGGTAGCCCTAAACCCCTTCCTTTAAAATAAGTAACTAGCTGCATTCCTGTCCTCCTCTGTCCCATCCAGGCAGTCACATGCACAGCAAATGCTCTCAGCGTATTCTTCCCCAGAATAGAGTACGGATTTTCCTACCTTTGGCGTAAAGATAGGTTTGGGAAGTTTGTTCCACGCCTGCTTGTTTCCTGAGCTTTCAAGACTCCCCCAGGATCACATCCTGTGTTTTTTCCTAGGAAACCCATGCTGTCACTGGAGGCTTAAGCGTGGGGCATTATTCACATGTTCGTTCCAGAAGTAGTTTGGAGCTTTTCTAATGCTAGTCTGAGACATTTGCCTGTGTTTTAGCTCACAGTAAATGTAAATGAATGTGAACACGAAAAACTTCCTGAGTGGCAGGAATTCCAAGTCAGAAACTTATGGACTCTTTTAAGTACCGTTGCAGAAAAACTTCAACACAGATGTCAAATATCTTCAATCTGCCTTGATGGAGGTGGAGGAAGAAGAGGGGGGAGGCAGTCCAAACCATCACTGGCCTGTTAGGAATTTCTTTGTGAGGTCCACAAGCAATCAAAGAATTTTGCCAATTTTTCTCATTTTGGCTGGCCACAAATTTTCAAACGATACTGTTTGTGGTCCCTTTTGAACGGTATCACCTTTTCACTTGAAAAAATCCCTTGAGGCAAAGCCCATAATGTGGCTAGTAGTTCCACTTCTGGTTTCAGTGAACCTCTGGTGAACCTGACAAATCTCTGTTGGGAAAGCTGACAGTGAAGTTGAACCATGAGAGAAATGTTCTTTAACTCAAACCTTTCCAGAGCTTCCAGGATCTGAAATTCTTGCAAACCAGCTGAGATCTGATAAATAGACAAATATGGTTCAAACGACACCCAGAAACTTGCCTGCTGCCCTGTGCTGTATCTGTCTTGATACAGCTAGTGGCAGTACTGCCAACCCATACCATTTTACAAACGTTTACTGTCCACCATCAGAAAGTAATTATGACATTGAACGTAAAGCGAAGAACCACAAAGAAGGATATGAAACCCATTTATCAATTAGGAGGCTAAAAATACAAGTGAATTTTCCGTATCTTCTGTTGCAACTACATTTTCAGGATTATGCCGTTGGGATGCAAGCAGCAGACAATAAAAGCAAGAGAACAATGCATTGTAAGTGGAGAATCTGTTATCTTCTGACTGAAATAAGTGATGTCCCTTGACACAAGGGGCACGATATGGGCAGGGAGAAAGACTCATGGCTGGTCTACTTTTGAATGTGAAGGAAAGCTATTTTGAAGGAAAAAGACAAAGGGAAGGACAAAAGTTAAACATATTCTCCCCTTCCTGATTTAGAATCGTACTCTGGTTCCACTTATTCTCTATTTTCTTTACAGTTCCTTCAACAACAGCATTCAGATAATGTTGAACACATTTCATGCATCACTAATAACAATTTAAACACCAACTTACCCAAAATAAGAAGTTGAAGACGAACATGGAGTATTTCATGCAGCCACTTACACCCGCCATTTTCAACAAGCTGAGACAAAATCAAGCACTGCAGAAGAAGCTTTCCTAAGAGTTTGTCCTTGATAGAAAAGTTGTTCCTGTGTCTTCAGAAAACCTGTCAAACCACATCAAATACACCGTGCTCTGCTACTGAAAGCAAAAATTGCGACCAAGGCATAGACAATTATTTAAATAGTTCCTATACCACAGGTAAACATTAACCAGAGTATTGGGAAAGCACTACCAGGTGTTATCACTGAGTCTCCAGACTCTTACTGTGTCTCTGTGATTTGTACTTTTCTGTGGTCCTGTTAGTCTTGTCCTACGCCTCGAAAGTAAATAGATAATGCAGCAAAAGTCATAGTTTCGAGAGAAAGGGAAGTGAGCATAAAAACATTTTACAGACCTGCTTGTAAGAGGTGGAAATGATTGCATTTCTTAACGCTTTTAAGTTACAGGGTTTACTCTTTCATCGCCCACTGAATATTGCCAACATTCATTCGGTCGTGTTCACCCTCCCACTCCAGATGTTCAACCAGCATAAAGGGACGGGTCTGTGTCATCTAGGCAGAGGAGGTGTAAGGAATCTGCCACCATTTTCTCCCTCTCGGTGTCTACTTCAGGTCCTTTTCCTCTTCCTCACCAAATCAGGACCCCGGGAACCTGAGCGTTGTGGTGCACAAAATGTTCTGCTGTGCAGGTTTCCAAAAGTGTTGTGAACCCCAGCACAGCAATCATGGTTCTGGCGTCAGATGCAGGATACCTCCCAGCAACAGGAGCTAGATTCGTCCCAGAAGACAAGGCAATAAACCTGTTTCATTAGTTTTGTTTTATGTCTTGTTTGTTTTCTTTTGTGCTCCTCAAACTAGGAATCCTGAGGGGAAAATAAAGGTATCATTGCTCTGTTTTTATTATCAGCCCTTTTTCTGGAGAAGCCCCTTATAGCAGTCCTTGGAGGGATGAGGGTCAGACACAGGTTCCCCTGAGTTTGTGATAAAAAAAGAAGCTTTATTTTGCAGGTGAGCACAAAGGATTTAAATCTGAGAGACTAAGGACATGCTGGACTGAACTGATTTATGAAGCCCCCTTGGCCCAAGCCCATTTTTCAGTCTTCGCTGTCAGTTCGCATTCTTCAATTCTGCTGTCTGTATTTGAGAAAAAATGGAAAGTGTTAGTATATAACACACCTGTAGATGGTGACAAAAAGATGTAACTTAGAGCCTGGGTTTTGTGGGATGCACAAAAAAAATCATCTACTCTACATTGAAAACAACTTCTTCTAGCTGGTCTCTAAACCAGCTTCTAATGAAGGTGTGATGTTGTAATCTCTCCATTCACTTTCACTAATTATATTTAAACAGATACAACCATTCCCATTTTTATGAGCAGCTCTATACCTGCCTTTGACTTTCTGGGCTCCCCCTTGGCCCAAGCCCATTTTTCAGTCTTCGCTGTCAGTTCGCATTCTTCAATTCTGCTGTCTGTATTTGAGAAAAAATGGAAAGTGTTAGTATATAACACACAGATAGATGGTGACAAAAAGATGTAACTTAGAGCCTGGGTTTTGTGGGATGCACAAAATCATCTCTCCATTCACTTTCACTAATTATATTACAACAGATACAACCATTCCCATTTTTATGAGCAGCTCTATACCTGCCTTTGACTTTCTGGGCTCCTTTCTGGAGTAATACTCCTTTTTCTAAGTAGGAGATTGGCTGTCTGACTAGCTTATTTCGCAATATCCACCCTGAATCTGAGAATGTTCCTAAAAATAATTGCGCTCATGAAATACAGATTTTGTAAGGATTGGGAGAAACAACTGTGTGGTATGGTTTAGATCTAAAGCACTCAACAAATAAGTAAGTTGAGAAATGTGGGTGTCTTTATGGAGGGATGCCATAGCCACAGATGAATCATGAGAAAAGTTTAAAGGGCCATATAAAATTGTATGAAAAGGGCCATGAAGGGTAATAAGAGAATCACAGATGACACAGAATTTGAAGAGGTAAGTCTGCAATCAGACCATGCAATTGCAGTAAACTGAGTTTATTATACGCGGAGTTCAGAAACAGCATTTTGTACCAAAAACTACACGGCTATAAAACTTCACGCACAGCAGATACTCACTACAGAAGGCTTGAGCTGTAGCCCCGTTGTCTGTGAGATGCTTAGCCCAGGCATTCAGTCAGAGGTGTCTGAGGGAAACCGTGCTAGGGCTGTAACCATATAGGAAGCAAGCGTGAGCATTCACACACTGGCCCTTCGAAAAAGGCCGGTGTGCAAGGACGTTTCCCGTGCAAGAGGCCCGCTCCCTCTTTGCCTCCCCGCTTTCCTTCACGGCACTCGTGGATTTTGGGCAGGTAGGGGTCTGCGCTAGCAATGCCCCGCAGTGACTCCCAGAGTGGTATACAGGCTCGGGCTGTCGGAGGACCCCAGGCCTGTCCGGGGGCAGAGAGCTCCACAGCATCTCTGGACCCTTCCCCAGCCTCCACCCTCGGGAGGTATAAGACCAGCACAGCTGAGTTTCTCGTTCAGTCTAGGAAATTTAAACAGCTGAAGATAGATATGATTTAGATCTGAAACCTGTTTTCATTACAATTTTATACTTATGGCTGTGGATGTTGAAGAAATTTGCCAGAACTTCTGGGATTTTTTTTAACTTTTTTTTTTAAATATGCCTATTGAACATTAACCACAAGCAAGTTCTGGTAAGATCCCAGTTTCTCCTAAACCTTGAAGAACCTACCTGCATTTTATATGTTTACTGATCTCTTTGAAAAAGCAAAAACAGACTTTCCTAGGACCTGATAGATGCTCCTTTTCTAAGATGGCAAATAGAAAATAAAGTCAAAGTTAAACACATTTCCTAGTGGGTTTCCAACGTGCTAAATATGGCTGCTGAATAGAAACTCAGGAAAATCGTAGGAAACTACGATTCCTACATGTTTCATATCTCTATTTAATGGTATTCAAAGTAAAAATATGTCATCTAAGATTAAAAGCAAACAAGCACTTTCCATTAAGTGACAGATTTCCAGGTTAAATCTTCTGTATGAGTTGGTGATTTCTTATTTCCTGGCTACACAGTGCTTTTTTATATGTCGTGGAGAAAGGGAAAGCCACAGTTATGGCACAGATTACGTTTGCAGTTGTACCTATAAGTATGAAGGTCATGCAGATAATTGCAGAGGCTTATGAATGAGAGCAATGGCATGAGAAATTTTGCGGCTATTTGGCTGCATGTGAAATTGCTCCCGTTACCCCTCCACTAACCTTTTAGGTGATCAGCTATGCCCTACCAATAACAAAGCCTGTGCCACAAAGTGCTCAAAAGCTTTTCCCAGTAAAGAAGTTGTAAACCCCCATTCACTTACTGCTCGTCCTTGCAGATTAGAAGAGGAGGATTATCAATGCACAGCCCGGATACAGCGCAGGGTGGGAGCCTCTGACGCAGCACACGCAGCTCCCCGCCACAACAGGGGAGCTATGATGACATGCTGACTTTGCCCGCTGTGTCACACAAGAAACCGGAGAGGGAGAGGCATATTTTGGCAGAAAAAAATGCCAGTACACCTGTAATGAACCTGGAATAAAGCGTCTCCCCTTTGACACTTCCCAAGCAGCTACAGTTGGTTTTATAATGCTTTTACCTTCCTTCTCCTCCGAGCCTTTCCTCACTTTGAGCCTTTTTCTTCTTTTTTTACAACCTCCATTTCCCCTTGTGAGGTGCTTCTCCATGGTCAGGCTGTGACCAAAGCCCCATATCAGACGATTCACTGTATAGGCAGTCATACTTCAGGTCCGGACTTGAAAAACCCGTTTGCCCTGCGTAGCAGCGAGCTCTTTGAACAGTGGGATGTGGATGGCGGATAATAAAAGTTTGTTTGCCATTGGAATTTCTGCTCAGTGCAGTGATAAACGCACAACAGAGAAGATGGGTAAGATCTATATTTAGCTTGCAATCTCAAAGAGAGCAGTAGATCTCTGGATCTGCTGAATTAGTAGGGACAGCCTATATAAGCTGTGCAGAGACAGATCTCAGGCTGTCACAGCATTCATCCTTCAGTCAAAGGGATACGTCACCTCTTGCAACCTCACCTGTTGCCCTGAGGTCTCTACTCAATACAAGTTTCTGCATTTCCTGATTAAACTCCTGTCTAAACAGTAGTGCGAAATATAACAGCTTTTTCGTGTTTTCACAATAAGTTGCTCACCCTTGATGCCAGGTGAAACAAATGCTGTGTGCCATCAGCCTTGACAGCATTTTGGCACTCATCTAAATGGGGAATGCTGCCAAAAGAAGACGTGTTTGCAGTCCAAACAGCAGGACAAACACCTTCAAACCAGTGGGAAATGGGAGCATCTGGTTTTGTCCTTGAAGGTATTTGCAGCACTGGGTCTGACTGAGATTGCAGTCAGTCTACTACACCTCATATCTTGGTTTCAGGCTTAGCAAATAGATCTTACTGCAATACCATAATAGCTAGTAATACTGCAATTGTAAAACTGAAGTATACTCCCATGTCTGAGTCTTAGCAAAATACTACAGTGTCCTAACAGATCTTACTTACGGAGAATTATTTTGCATTGGAATATTATGTGGCACTGACATCGCTGCTGAGTTTACACTCAGCTCCCAGAGTCAAACAATTACAAGATTCCTTGCCCTCATTTTAAAATATCCTTTCATCTAGGCCCTGAGATGAAGGGTAAGAGCTTGAAAAGCTTGACAAAAATATACCTGAAAACTCCAAAGGCTGAATAAAAAGTAGAAGAAAGAAGACAGCAGTATTGTATTTGATCACGAGTCTTACACCATTTTCATGATTTTGGGTAGCTGATTTGTGATCGACAATACTATAAGCAGATAAACTTTTGGCTAACTTCTATAACTCACATGACTTAGCTATGATTGAGTCCAAGGCTGATCCTGCAATTGACCACCACATGAAAAGGAATGAGAGTATTTTCAACCAGTGTTAGGCATGTATATGGCTGGCGGAGTCAGCTGTTGTCCT